TGCCCATGTGGTGGTTGGTGTCACACATTTGCCCATGTGGTGGTTGGTGTCACACATTTTGCCCATGTGGTGGTTGGTGTCACACATTTTGCCCACGACGTCGTGTATGGTTTTGTGGTTTCGTTGGTGAACGAGGAGAGATGCCAACCAATAGACTTTCCGGGCACTCACTAGCGTGGACTCCGCCCGAATAGAATGCCCGCCCGGTCATTACAGAGCTGTGCTTGGGGCACAACTTTTGGTGTGGGTGCAGCGATAACGACCGGGCGTTCTATTCGGGGTGAAGACGGTGTTCTGCACATTTGATCTGACAAATCATGCGCAGACATTTGCAGTTTCGATGGCGCCGAAAACATCACTACCGGTAGTTCCTTTACCAATGAGGCGGCGTGGCGTGCCACATTTTTTTTGTCTGCCAACAGACGTGGGCACTTCGTGGCGCTGACCCTGACCGCCGTGTACCTGCTGGACAGGAAGCTGACAACGCTTAGTCAGTGCTAGCTCTCCAGGAAAACTGCAATCTTGAAATATCAGCCTTGGGCACTGGACCCTGCAATCTCTGTGCAGAGGAACAAGAGAGACTGGAAGAGGAACGGATAATAACTTCAACTTCCAAGTTGTTTGTTACCGAGCTCTGTGTGGTGGACGGAGGAGGGAGAAGAGGGAGATTTGACAAAAAAAGTAGGTTGGAGGAGCAAGTCGTTGCGAAATGCAAGGGGACCTGGAAAATGAATCCGGAACACAATATCGGTCAGGAGCAGGAGGAATAGAAGTAGAAGAGAGGGTGAAGGGGGGGGGGGGGGGGGGGGTGTTCAATGACATCTTGATGAGCGAAGAGCATTTTGGAGAGGGAAGGGAGGGGTTTCTTTCATGGTACGTGGAAGATCACTTAGTTTTTTTTCCCCTTCACCTGTCTGCCCCTAGTGGAGGAGTGGCAAAAATAAAGGGACAAGCTGTTCGCTCATGTTTTCGAGCTACTTTTGGCAGTTCAGGATGATTGTTACGGGCCGTTTTTATCGTCCAGCTGGGAGTCGTTTTTGTTCACAGTGTGTACATGGGATGAAATTCATAGCATGTGAAATTTCAAACATTCCAAAAAAAAAAAAAAAAAAAAAAAATCATAGCATGTGAAAACTTGCAAAACATAGCATGTGAAAACTTGCAGAACAGTGTGGTTGCTCAACTCTGATGTGTGTCCGTTTGCTCTGTCTATTCCTGTCTTTGTGTGTTGTTGTGGATGGAATGATGTTTGATCCCTATCGTCATCAATCATGATCAATCATGATCAATCATGATCATAATTAAGTGCGATTTTATTGGTGGATCCACCTTTGGCATGCTCATCTTTTTTCATCCGACAGGGTCTGTTACGGAGATTGCTGGTCTACTGCCTCTGGCTGGTGGGTGACAAAGTTTGTGAGAACGGGGCTTTCATTCATCACGGTGAGGAGTGATCTCTGTGACCCGACGTGGACGGCACAGATCTATCCATCTGTCTGATGAGGCGGTCTAACCTTTTGCAGGCTGGAGGTCTTCCTCCACTCGTGCTACTTAAAGAGTGCCTACGTTGTTCATACTTTGATTGTATCATATGGTGCATCTACGCTGTAATACGAGAAAGAATACAAGCGTGTGTTCACACCCAGAAGCATTGAGATCGAGGTCTTGCTCTGGCTTCTGACGAGGCGATTAAGCAATGCGTCAGACATGCCATGCACTCGGGCCGAGTATGAGTAGAGTGTGTGCTGGGTAGCATACTTGTGTGGGTAGAGTGTGTGTGCTGGCTATAAATAACATCCTTGTGTGAGTGGAGTGTGTTGCCTCCCTTCTCCGGACAGCGTAGTCGGTCGACACGGTGAGTTGTGTGTGAAGTCTGACCTGCAATTCTTTAGGAGAAGGAGAGGGGGAGGACGGAGGGAGGGAGGGGGGGTGGAGGAGAGGGAGGACGCATGTGAAGAAGGGCTCGTAGGAAAGGAAAGAAAACGAAATTTTGAAAGAAGAAGACAACAACAAGAAAACATGGGAGTGAGGCTCCGGATACTTTATGCCGTTATGGCTGTCACCACTGTGTTTGTTGTATTTGAATTGTGTCTGAGCATTATGAATACATGGAAAACACGTGGTGGGGAGTTGAGCGACGACTTCCTGTGTGAAAACAACCCTGAGGTGATGATTGTGACCAGCTCACAACCCCACTGTGCGGATGCCGATGGTAATCTGGTCCTGCTCCGGTCTCTTAAGAATAAAGTAGATTACGCGAGGCTGCATGGGTTTCAGGTACTTTGTCCGATGGAAAACGTCGATATGAATCTAACTGGCAACTGGAACAAGATTGCAGTGCTGCGTGGAGCAATGCGCGTGCACAAGGCTGTCAAGTGGTTCTTTTGGATGGATAGCGATGCGCTAATTACTGATATGCTCTTTGAGATCCCCTGGAACCGGTACAATGGTCTTGATTTGGTAGCGATGGGGAACCCAAAGCAAGTAGGCCATTACCTTGGTTTAAATGCAGGCGTCCTCTTGATCCGGAATTCGGAATGGTCTCTGAAACTTCTCGACACACTCGTTGAAGTTCAGCAGCAGTTCAAAACGAATGTGACGTTTCAGAGAGCCGTGCGTAGGATGGTTGCAAATTCGCCACCTTGGCTCGGCGACCAGACGGCCTTTGCATACCTGCTGGCGAAGAGCAAGAAATGGCGCGCGAGGACTGGATTCGAGGAGCGGTATGCGTTGAACGGCTTCTGGAAGGGTACGGAATGGGCTGATCCTGGCAAAGTTCGGCCCAAAGACGCCTTCCCAAGGGACGGACGATCTCCGCCGTTCGTAACGCATTTTGCCGGGTGTTCCTTCTGCACTGGGCAGCAGTCTGCTGTGCTAGCGGAGTGCAAGGAGAAGTTTGCGAGGGCGTTTTTCTCCGCTACCAACCAGGTACTCGCCGTCCACGGTGTTCAACACAAGGGGCTTACAGAGACGATGGAGAGCGTGGAGATTGAGTGAGTTGTGAGCCCCCTGGGTCCGTGTGCTGCTAGGCTGACGAATAGGTAGGTAAATGGGGATGCCTCTCAAATTTCTGACTCTTAACCGATTGTAAACGTGGTTGCACTCTCTTTTCTCCCATTTCCACTTTTCTCAGAAGCCGTTGACCGCGCGCTGTGCCGTGATTGCTATCAAAATTTACGGCAGCTGAGTTCGATGTGGTTTTCTCCTTGTTCACACAAGAGTTTGATGTGGTTTTCTCAGTATTCACACGAAGAGCTGTGACGTGATTGCTTGGCTCTTAGGGCTACACGTCACTGCCTTGTTTTTTAGGTCTTTCCTTCATCTCTGTGGAGGACCTGGTAGGCCACTCGTAGGGATGACTTCGATGTCTCGTGGAGTAAAAGCCTACCTGCCTCCATAGATTGCATTTTTTAGCTGGTGGAGGGAGATCTTGCACATTGATTGATGGGGGTCCATTTCCTAATCTGTGGACAGATTGGGCTCAGATCTTTACCCTCTGCATGGTGCGCAATTGGCACATTGATGCTGCTGTGCTGCCGGGTTGCCATTGAGATGAGTTTTCAGAAGACGAGGTGTGTGGGGTGCGAAAGGATTCTGGTCGACTTTGATGGCGGAAGGTAAGTGCCTATGCTGTGTGGATTATGATGCATTTATCTTGTGGGATTGCCTTCGGGATGGTGAAACGTGGGCGTCAGTCAACCGCCCTCATTCACGTTCGTGTTGCACCGCTTGACCGAACAGAAAACTCGTCTAGGGTTTTTATTTGTTCTCCTTGGTAGGTCTTTGTACGGGGCCGTCAACCTCGCCCTCGTACACATTCGTGTTGCACCGCTCGACCGAACCGAAAACTCTTTTCTGTTCTGATTGGTAGGTCTTTGTATGGGGCCTTCAACCACCCTCGTTCACACTCGTGTTGCATCCCTTGACCGAACATAAAACTCTTCTGGGGTTTTTGTTGTCATTGGTAGGTCTTTGTACCGGCAGGGTCACATTTTGCCGATTCCCATTTGTCTTCTCTAGTCGGCAAGAGAAACACTGAGGCACTAGATAACTAGTCAGTGCACACTGACACAATTTAATTGCCCAAAGAGCGCCAGGCCAGTTGCATGGTTCCTGGCATTAACGCCCGTGTTGTTGTCTGCTAGAATGGGCTGTAGGCATGTGGTAGGCTAACTAAGGTTGTAGCTTCACAAGGATTTAGACAAATGCGTGAATGAAGTAAGTGGATCAGCCTGGTGTCCACTACCCACTACTTGTCAGATCCCATTGGAGATTGTCCGACTCGTTCAGGAATGAAAAATGTGTCTCCTTTCCAAGAGAACTCAAAGCAAGTAGAGTTGGTGAGCCGTGTAATGGGCAAACTATTTCGCACGTTTTGGAGGGCACTTCAGCAAGTCTGTGCAAATCAGATCGAAGTTTCAACAGGACATACGATGGTGGGCTGATGGTTTGTTTGCCTGCCTGGTGGTTGGGTGATGGTGCATACATACCTACAAGTAATGCCAGGACCGGATATCGTTTCCTGTCCTCCACACAGTAAGAGAGGAGTTAGTCCCCCCTCCCCCTCTCTTCTCCCCCCCCCTCTCACGCCCCTTTTCTCCGAGGCACAGGGTGGTGGTGCGGCATGTGATCGTTTTGGCGGTTGAATTGGGCAAACTACCTTTTCGAGTAAATCCTGAACCAGAGGTCATTTCCTGTCCCTACAGTAAGTTGAGGAGCTAGTCCCACCTCCCCTTTTTTCTCCCCCTTCTGTCCAAAGAACAGGGTCGTGGGGCGGCGTGTCATTGTTTTTCTGTGCTCGGATGACATTGGCGAGTGTGTAGCAGATTTTAGATTTTGCACGGCTGCTGCAAGGTACGTTCATGATCGCAGTGAGGAAGGGAACTTAGGGAAGAGAGCGGCAAGAGCAGTAGAAGTTATGAGAGAGATCGGTCTGGAGTCTGAACAGCAAAACGCCTCCATGACGCACAACTGGACTGTCATCCCATCCGTTATTCGCATCCTGCAAGGTATGTTCACGATCACGGTGAAGCAGGGAAGACAGCAGCAAGAGCAGCAGAAGTTATGAGGGAGATCGCTCTGAAAGAACCCCAGTACATGGCAGCTATTGGCCGCAGGCCCCTGTGGCCGCCGATTCATTTGATCGATACGGCGCTCGGCCTCCTAAATATTCCGGAGACGCTCAAAACAGGTTCTCCAGTTGCCTGGGGCCATGTACTGGTGGTTGATCACCAAAACTCCTCCACAATGCACAGCTCGACTGTGATCCCCTCCGTCACTCGTATGCGTCGTATCCATTGCTGTTTTTTTTTTTTTCTCTCTGGTCGCTGGTCCTTTGCAGTTGAGCTTGTTGTACTGGCCTTGCTTTGGCTTGGTTGGTTCTTGCTTTGAACAATTGATCGATATGGATGTCACCTGCCCGTATGCAAAGATTGTTCCATCTGATAGCAATCATAGCATGTGCTTCTCTGTAGTTCCGTGCATTGTTGCCCCCTGGAGTGGCCAGGTGCTTTCTGCAGAAAGGACTTGCTCGATTAGGAATCCCTTGCGGTTCGGAATCTCCATGCTTACGAAAGTCCGATGGTGGTGGCTGTTGCTGCGGTAGTTGATGACTGGACAGTCAGTTTTTTTTTCCAATAAGAGATGTTATAGTCTTGGTAGGGTCAGACTATAGTGTCTTGACAGGGTCAGTTAATAGTTTTTTCTTTTGCAATAAGACACACTATATGGTGGTGGGTGCTGCTATGGCGGTCTTGGTACTCCCGTGACGGCAGGTTTTGCAGTCTTTCCAATCTCTACTTGAGAGGTGCGGTGGTTTCGGATCAGCTCCTTGCGCAGCAGGATCCAACAGTGGTGGTTGTCGTTGCGTTAGTAGGCAATCTACTGTTGAGATTGAGATTTTCTCACAGGAGGCTGTATAAGCTGATCCTGCTGTGTAGCTGCTGCATTGATCTTTCCACAATGGCAGGTGTTCCATTCTTTTGAATCTGTGTATGCTAATTATGCATGCTTTTTCCACCTTTGCATTGCATTCTTTTGATATTTCCACCTTTGAATGCTTTTGATCTTTCTTTCCACCTTTGCATTCTGTTTTTGTGTTTTTTCTGCCTGAGCTTTGACAGGGAAGCAAAGCTGTTATGGGTGTAGTTTTGTTTGATTTGTAACAAGTCCTTCATTTATGGACTGGGTGCAAAACTCTTATGCATGATAATAATGCGCTTATTTGTGTTGAGCAAATTGTAGGAGGGCAATAATAATGAAGTATGAATGAATTGTTGAGCAGAACCCCTGCAGTCGATCATTCTATGAGTAAAAGCAGAAAGTTCATTTGTGTTCTTGTCACCTGGAGAAGTGCTTAAGAGTCTGAAAAAAAGGCAAAACAGAAGATGAGAGGAAAAAAAGGAAGCAAGCGATTGGTATTGCTGATTGCTAAACGAAACAAATACTTCTTTTGGTTTGTTCTGGTTTGTTTTGGTTTATTTTGGTTTGTCCCGGTTTGCTTTGGTTTGTTTGGCTTCGAATAAACTAAGTCCATGCCTTCAACCCGCCACGTGGAATAGGAGAAGAGTGGTTTGTTTGGCTTCGAATAAACTAAGTGCATGCCTTCAACCCGCCACGTGGAATAGGAGAAGAGTTCTCCACGCCGCGTGGAATAGGAGAAGAATTGTCCACGCCGCGTGGAATAGGAGAATAAGAAAGCACTTATGTCCACAGGTATCATGGTATGGGCCACAGACAGCGGCTGCTGGCCATTGTGACCCTTCCGGAATTGGTGGTAGCTGACCATTCGGCACGACTTCTACAGCCTGAGTGACTGATTGGGGCCGTTCCCTGTGAAATTGACGGGGCAGCGGCATTTTGGATGTGTGCAGAATCCCCAGAGTAGCATAGTAAAAGGGGTTTTGTGGGGTTGGGGTCTTGCAGCTCTGAGAGGGGAGAGGGGAGGGAGGGGTGCTGAGGGATTGGGGTTGTTAGAGGGAGTCCCCAACACAGCACATCAATAAAACACAGCCAAACAGCTGAAAAGGAAGGAAGAAAAAGACTATGAAACTGTGAATGATGGATGTGATTAAAAATAATAATAATAACAATAATATATGGATGTGATGCTCCTCATTTCCCCTCCCCTCCACCTTCATATATGGATGTGATGCTCCTCGTTTCCCCTCCCCTCCCCCTTCACACGGCCCCAGCCTTGTGGCGAAATCTTTGATCGCCTACGACAATTTCGGAGGCTCGGGGCTACCTGACCACAATGGCTCCTGCTAGCCAAAAAAGGAAAAAAAGTCTGCCGCTGGCGGTTCGGAAAAGCTTGGCATGCAGTGGAAGGCTTCCACGCCCGGGTCTGCTGATCGTTTCATTCCGTTCACCTGAGCCTAAACATGCAAAAGGAAAAACAAAAACAAAAAAAGAAGAAAACAACCCCCCCGGCCAGAATCGTCACTCCTACCTGATCAACAGCGACTTAGTGAAACATGCAGGTTGGCATGAACTTTATGGGATGCACCATTTTTATTTTTATTTTTTTTTTATTTTTGTTTCTCGCCCTGATGTGGAGTAACGTAAGGAATGAAAAAAAAAAAAAAAACGTAAGGAACATCCCTGATTTTCTTTTTTGTTTATTTTCGCTGCCGGAATTTGGGGCACTTGCAATTCTGTAGCCCTCCCTACTTCTGGCTATGCCTCTTGGGACCGGTGGGCTGAAGCGGGCAGGTTGTTCCATGTGCACTGGAAATAGCTTTGTTTTGGCTCGGCTGAACTGGTGGGGTTTAATCACGGCTGTCCACGACCCCTGGGTTTGGTCATTGATAAGGACAATTGCTGCTGCTGCTGCTGCTGGTGATGATGATGATGGTGAAAGGAGGTGTTGCTAACGATGAAGATGATGCTGAACACAGTGACAGAGACGACGAGGACGGCAATGTCCATGATGGTGATGAGCAATGATGACAACGATAATGATCGCTGTCTCTCTTTCCGCCCACCTGGAAATCGCAATCCTTCACATGCTTTGCATTTGGTCTTGTCGTCGTTGTTGTCAATGACGAGGAAGAGGAGGAGAAGAAGAAGAAGAAAACTGCACCTTGCAAAGGCTGATGACCGCTCAACTAGCGGGCTGCAAACCAGTCGATTGGTCGGCCCGCAGTTGCCGACCAGTGTGGCCACCGGACGGTATGTCAGAGTATGCAGGTGCTTCTTGTTGTTTAGACTCAGACGACCCGTTTTGTTTGACAGGATAGTATCGGAATAAGGGCATCGCTATGCTACTCTCCGCATGCACAAAAGAGCCAAAAATATGGTGGCGTATCTTTCCATGTTCTACCGGAAGATTTGCTCTCATTTTCCACTTTTGGTAAGTAGTGGAGCAAGGTCCTGAGGCAACATACATATGAGA